TCTATATCGTAATATTATTGTAAAGGTTACAATTAAATTTCTCATTAAAATTATTTGTTTTGTAAAAAATATAATTCGATGAGATACAAATATAAATAAATATGTACTTTTAATAGCATTTTCTCTAATACCTCAGAATGTCGAATACGTTTCATAAAACTTTATTTTGTTTTGCTATGTGTGACTCGAAATATAATTTTCATTCGAGAAATCAAAAATTTGTAGTTTATTCAATACTAACATTTTTTTTTCATAATGCGCGACAAAAGTACGCGTTTTACTGCACAAGAAGAAAGGTAAACGACGATTAAATAATTATGATAGTTGTTTAGTTATTTAGCTCTTGTATTACAACACAATACGTGCTATATGGAAATGTGGCATTAAAATTTCAGAATGCTTTTATCACATTGTTGTTATATTTGAGGTTTAGCTATAGTGAAAATGTAGGATAATGGTAGATTATCTACCAGAAAGAAAAATGGGGGAATAATAAATAATGGCGTAATGGATATCGATTTACGGAAATCGTTAAAAATAATTGATATTTTACGAACCTTTCCTACTTTTATTGATATTCACGCATACTCAGAAAATGAACATCTTACAAATAGAATTTAACTTAAAAATATAATAAAGTTATATATTTTGTAACAAATAAAAGCAAACTAAGTAAAAAATAATAATATAAAATGTAAAGAATAAATAAATAAGTCAATTATTAGATATTAAGTTGTTATTATAATAACTTGGCCTCAATAATTTTGCTATTATTCGTAAAGCGTTATTGTATACCTACCTACTATATTTACCCTTTGATTATCCTGCCAGCAAACTTTCTTTTTATCACAAATTTTGTTCCATCTCATTATACTTGATAAAAATAAACAATCTCATTATATTTAATTGAAAGAGACAAATGAAAGATTTAAAAAGTGTAAAAATGTTATGCTGTTAATAATAAACGCAAAGGACAATATTAGAAAAGGTGTCAGAATCGTGATCGTACTACGGAATCACGTTCATCTTCAGACGGCACGAAGCTGCTTTTAATCAACAACGAAAGAGAAATGAATGCAAAGCGAAAGTGTAACAACAGGTAGAGACATTGTACGGACCAGAAAACGACATACCAGTGATTAAAAACAGCGTCGTTATTTCACCGTTTCCCAAGCCTAATGACGAAGCTGTGATAATCTTGAGAAACATATCCCACCAATACTTGAAAAATAATATATCAGGGAAGAAATATTAATAACAATAGCGCAGCTGCTTCGTGAAGATATTTAAATTAAAAAGTTTCTATAGATAGTACATATTTTGATAAATTTATTATTACTTTTGGCGTATCTTGCATCCTTTCCGTTGCGCGTCATTAACGTTCCTTTAATTCCGCGCGTCTTTACGCCTCACTTCGCTCATAACGGCCCTACATTGCTAGCTCGAACATACGAAGATTTGCAAATCCAGTTGTCCCACGGGATGCATTTCTTCTTTTTTTCCCCCCCAGCCCCTCTGCATCGCTGCAACAAGAGCGAGTGGTAACGAATCAAACGTAAATCCACGGTAAAATTATGGAAATGAATAACGGAGCATATTTCCATACAGATTGGTCCCCCGCGTTCCTGAATTGCTCTATTTTTTCTGCAACGTGACGTCGGACGTCGTAAAGCGACATTCGTCAGGATGATTCGATCGTAAAAAAAAATTATGGTACGTCATACATTTGACACACAATAGTTCGTACGGCGATTTCTGCGAAACTGCAGAAAACAGCCGGTATTTCGTTGAAAATTGCAAGTGACGTCGGGTCGTAATAAAAGAGCCAATGAGAGCGATTAAGAGATTCGTTTACTCACAAACTCACGCGACTGCAATTAAACGGCGCGGAAGCCGCGGAAACTGGCAATTCGGTCGCCTTGGGAACGACTTTCGCATTGTCTTTATTACTAGTTTGCTAGAATGGCGGGAAAACTTGGATAATTTTGGAATCGATGCAGATCAGTCGGATTGGTGCGGTAAGACATAAGTCGGACAAGTATATCGACCATCTGCCTCAGTGGACGTATAAAAGGCGGATTACGAGAGGCGGTGCATTCCCTAACCGACGCAGATAAAAGCACGTGCGCATTCGTCTTCGTATTCAATTTATCGAGGTTCTTTCATCCTGATGACAAATATCGGATAACAGTAAATCGAAATGGCGATGGAAGGGAAAAGAATAAGCACGTACGTCTACTAAAAATAATAATTTACGATAGATGTGTTATATTAAACTGATACACATTTTTCAACGGAACAAAAATTAACTTTAAATTCAAAATGGCCGCGCGTGTTATTGTTCTATTTTAATTACTATTAGTCACTGCTGCATAAATAACAAAAGTATAATATGATTTTCAATACGCAAGTGTAATTAAACTATACAGAGTACAATTTAAAACTTTAAAAAAGCAGTAATGAACATTTTGATCTATTACCGGGTTAAAAGATTCATTAGTTTTATGTCTCGCATATTTAAAAATGGTAAATTTATTCATTTTTAACTTGGAAAGTAGGCGACGGAGTATTTAGCGACGGATCGAGAACAACGTGATCCATTATTTATTTTGATTAATACGACTCAATTTAATGTTGCAAAGCCGTACATTTCCCTTTCATCAATCTGGGACTCTCTCATAGCACCATTCGATAAAAGTGTCCCAAACCAGGCCAGGTATTACCGTACTACCGGCTACAATTATCAGCCGGAACATGCCGTTAACGAGGAAAGCCTTTCAAAGGCAACACAGAGTTTCGATTAAACTTTGTAGGTGCTCCCACAAAAGAAAGATACGTATTTTCCTCGGTACGCTAAGAAACTTATTTACTATTTCATTTCAATAAAAGAGTCGCTTGAAGAGATTCCCTCTAATTCTTCATCCGCAACAAATTTCTGACAGTATCTCTAGCTTTTGTTTTCTATCTTGCGACAAAGACAATATGTATTACGGATACTTTATCGCCAATATGAAATAATACTATAAGAAAATGATTCATTCTTGATATAACATTAAGTACATCTCGATTTGTTTTTACTTGTATTTCTACATACTTGCATGTACAGAATAATTGGTAATTTGATTTCCATATTGCAAATTTCTTAATTGTACCGGAAAGATTGAAAACAGATGTTATAAAGCTTTCTAATATACTTCATTCCTTATTGTGTTTTTTTTTTTGGTACACGAACAAATGGGATTGCTCCTTCAGCGACGCGGGAACGTGCAACATAAAATCGGTCGTAGTTGCAGTTTATGTGACACGTTTAACTACAAGCTCTTGCAAAAGGGTATTATTTCATATCACATATACTTACGGTATTCCATCAAGTTAGATAAGCAATATTAAATTATTTTAAGGATTTCCATCTTCGGCCCTTATAAAACAAACGAAATAGTTCTGAGTCGCTTTATAAAATACGTAATTAATAACCGACTGTAAGATACGTTATGTCTTGCGGACTGTTGGCAATGGATTTAAATCAATTTTCGCCCGTAAATATTTATGCTGCATGGCTAAGCTTAAGTTTAGAATCTAAACCAAAGATGGACGCGCGTCTTCTTGCAAAGTATGTATAACCTGGATTTCTGCTAAGTCGAGAATCGTGATGTACATAGTGTATTCAACGTGTATTTTACATATGTAATAAGATTCTCTATTTTGTTCCTAGATAAGATTAGAAATGTTCTAATTATCAACACGCGTGTTTAATTTATAATAAGAAATATTACGCGAGAAAGTACGAAATGTAAACAAGAGTATTAGCTGCACTCAAGTCTTTTACGTAAATATCATATACACATTAATAATATCATATCGTGCAACAGAGCAAGTTACTTTAAATCTTAATCGGATTCCTTAATTGCAAAGGAGCTCACAGCTCAAAAGTAAGATAGAACCAAGGAGATTTTCATCTCGATTAAAATGAGACTCAAAGTAATTTAGCGAGGTAATTGCGACTGACTCGTTAGCATCGGTCGATGCGGGGTCCCGTGCGCAGAGCCCTTTTAACTGAACGGTGCAGTGGAATGCATCGAAATTAGAGAACCGCATCGTCCGCAGGCAATGGTAGCGCATAGTTGTGGATCCGCCTGCACATCGTTTTCAAATCAAATTACAAATACCGTATAAAATTGCGTTGGAAATGACGATACGACAAGCAACTAAGATCTGTCTTACCGTAGCGAGTACAGCACCTACTTGTCGTATCGCGCTAACCATTCAACTGCTGAAGCTGGATACTGTGTCAATGTAAATCTCATACCGTTGCCGTTTACTTTCGCTCAAGAACTAACTTGGTACGTGTGCGCGTGCACTAATTTACTTTGACATAGTTTTGTACGTCGTATGTGTGTGTGTGTGTGTAGAGGACAGTTTCTTATTCGAGATAGGCTTTTAATATAAGATAGTGCCTTCTTAGCATCCAGTTTCACCAATTTTTCGCAACAGTCACACGCACGATCTAACAATGAATTTTCCGCTAAATAGTTTTCACTCCAAGGACAATAAATTCATGATGGAACCAACAGATGATGCCTATTAATTTAGAAATCCTACTATTATCTCGCATTAGAAGTCTATCTCGTGATAGACTTCGCCTCTGTATGTATGTTATAAATATAAACCCTGTAATTAAAAAAAAAACCTGCACTGAGAAAAATGTCCGATTAAATATAATTGGATAATCCAATTACATAACAACAAACGGATATATCCGAGTAAATTGTATACCCGATGAAAAATGTGATCGGTTTTTCAATCAAATTTCATCGAATGTATCCATAATTTATTCGGGAAACGTAATCGGAAAAATAAACCATCGGAAACGCTATTTAATTGATTTATCCGATGAAAATTTTTCCCAGTGTGAGAAAGAAATATATAATTCTGTATTAAACCGCGTAAATCTTTCCAAGTAAATTATTAATTAACAATATATCTTGCTTTTTCCAGGACTTGGCAATGATTAATGCGACGAAGAGGTGATGTGATGTGGCGAAACTTCGGCTGGACGGCCATTCTGGCTACATGGACGATATTCCTGATATTGAACAGCGGCTTAGCTGGCGAACGAGTTCTCAATAAACCGCAAAACAACAATGAAGACACTCCTTACAGCCTGCATCGTGGAGCAACGTATCCCGTTTTCGATAGGAAAGTTATCGATGATTCCAGGTTACGATACGCGAAAGGAAATTACAAATCGAATGATCGTTCATCAATGCATGCGAAAGCAGTTTCTCCGGGATTCAAAAATACGGAAAATCGCGATTCACGAGTCAATGGCTATGAAAAGCGCATTGCGATGTCAAATACAATGGCTACGGCGAAGCACTTGAAAGGCAGCGACGACAAAAGTGCGCGACTGATTACGAAAAGAACGGGAAACGTATGGTTGTCGCAAGTTACTGTTATGGAAAAGTCAAAGAGTACGAGGAATTATCTCAAGTTCGTGTCGAGCCTACGTCCGACGCCATCGACGTCTCGAGAGTTGAAAAGCGCCTCGCGAGAAAGAAGACGTAAAGAAAGGGCTACCTATGTGTACTTGAACGATCATAAAAAGACAGGAACGATAAGACACGATACTCGGTCGCATGGCGAGAAAGGCGGACGGTGGAAAAAGCACGAGAGGGATCGGATCTTTAGCGACGTAAATGGGATGACCGCATTCTTCCCCGGCAAAATCACAAAGAACCCGCGCATCGAGGAAGACAGTTCTGCACAGAAGTTCGAAAATTCCGATATCTCGCAACTCAAAACTATGGAGGGCATCGAGTCCGGACGCACCGACGGAACACACGAACGTAATAAGAACGAAGGGGATTCCCGTCTCGAGCTGAAAAACTGTACGAATAAATTGATTTACGTTGAGGCCAACGGCAAATCTCGAAAAGTGGAGGCAACTTTTTCAAACTGCTCAAGTTCAAAGGAAAATCAGAGTCGTGAGAATGAGACTAATGCAACAACCACTACAGGTAACACGATCACAGAAAACTCGCCGTACCAACGTCCCGTAGCTGCCACCTGGACTACATTAATCTTCAACTCCAAAATCTCGAGTGCAAACGGAGAAGTTGGTGATGAAGAAAACACCGTGAGTCCCTACCACCCTTTGGAGAAGGTATATTCGAAATCCTATAAAGCGGATAAATTTCTAGCAGTCGAAACATACAAACGTGACGAATATTCAAAGGTAGGATTTAAAGTACGTACAGATACGTACGCGAATAAGAAAGGAAACGGGAACGTCTTCGATTCGTTCACTTTTCGCACATCGAATTCGCTCAAAAACCATTTCACTGGGAAAAGAGTCAGCTCCGCGAGGCGTCCCTTTTTATACAAAAAGAAAAACGCACTGAAGACGAGCGATATATTTGATCGACGACATCCATATCACGCTTCGAAAAGCGATATTGATGTAAGAATAAATAGAAAAACAGCGAATCCCGGCGAGATGCGTACAAGAAAGAAAACGGAAGAAAAGAAGATTACCGCTGCTGCAAACTACGCAACGCACAACGCGCTCGAATTCGAGCCTGTTTTGTTGCCAAATAATTTATCTATCAAGGGAACCGATCAATCGAACTTGGATCAGATGCGAACGCGTATTTCAGTCACGCAGAAAAGGAATCCGGTGCACGTACGACACGTCGGGCCCGACGCGGGCTGCGAGCGCCCGCGGAGAACCGAGTTCGAGGCCGAAGTTCGTGACGCGTTTCGAATCGGCCTCCGGAATGTCTCCGGTCTATCGAGGATCGCGAAATTCGGCGGCTCCATCGACTCGACCGGCTCCCAAAAACCTCATCATGACCGCCCAAAGTACTCGCAGAAATTTCGCGCAATCAATACCGGAATGCGGCCTCCACGCATCGCTGAGACAACTGATGGGGGATCAGAATTCAACCAAGAGCCTCGAGGAGCCGAGAGCATATCTGTCTTTTTCGGTGCAGCGAATGTCAGCGATAATTCGACCGAGATGCGGAAGATTAATGGGCGTGTGCAGTCATCGAGCGAACTTACGGATGAGCCCGAATTAGAAAATGTCAGAGTTACGACGAGACGTGGTGGAAATCATCGAGACATGCATGAAGGATCTGGATTTTATTCACGAAGCGATGGTATCCATAACTCAAAGCATCGGCGATACAAGCGCCAGGAAGAGCGGAATACTCCGGGGATCTCGGCATCAACTGAATTCGATAGCGGGACGCGGAAGACACTCGATACGGCGAGGGCGACAACAGCGTCGAACTTGCTAATCGAATTTAGTGCGAATCCACCCATTTCGGCCACTCAAGTAAATAATATAGTATCAACTAGCGCGAAGAAAGTTCGTACTTCTGTAGAAACACTGCCGACTTCGAAATACGAAGAATTTCAGAAAGAGTGGCAATCGAGCCCATTGGCGACCGAACGCGACGAGAGATACACGATTGCTCCGGCAAAAGTGGTTTCCGATGCTTCTGACTCATTAGAGATATCGTTGATAGATGCCCCGATGACGTTAAACGCCAGTTTGGCAGAAAGGCCGTTTCTAATCAAAGCGCACGATCGCTCGAGGGCGGTAACTAAAACAGACAACTCTATCGTTCCGAAAGAACTGCCCTCGGCTGCGGAAGCAAATGTGCGAGTATCCGACGCTGCGAACAGAAACGTCTTGGAGGTATCTTCGACCGAGCTCGTTAATTCGCAAGAGGGACATGGAGCGTACGGTAACGAATCCGTTTGGACCATTGACCCACTTCCACAAAGGAACAGTGATTCTCCTCGAGGTGTCCTCGAAGGCATCACCACGGAGAATATCATCGACTCGTTGGCTAGTGACGTGCTCTCGGACCAGTGGCCTGTAAAGCATAGCGCGGTAGTGGAAGGTGATCTTGTTCTCGGTGGACTGATGATGGTGCACGAAAGGGAAGATAGAATTACATGTGGTCCTGTAATGCCTCAGGGCGGAATTCAAGCTCTCGAAGCTATGCTGTACACGTTGGACACTCTCAATGATCGGGAGATTGTGCCAGGCGTCAAGATCGGGGCGCACATACTCGATGACTGCGACACGGACACGTACGGTCTTGAGATGGCGGTGGATTTCATTAAGGGTACGTATGCGTCGCAGCATGACGAGCGTATCTTTCTTCATACGCCTAAGCGTGTCTTTATCAATCACAGTATCGCGGAACGCATGAAAAACTTTCATCTTGTAATTCTCGTATCTGGCACTGGGTTCTTCAATTCATTCGCAAGTGAAACGTATGCGCAAATTCTGCTCTTACGGGAAAGTTGCGAGTCGATTTGTTAAAAGTCAGCTGCGATAACCAATCGACTCGCAACTTTTCTGTACTTTCTAAAGTTTTTCGAGTGAAAACAGAACCACCGGGTGAAATATTCATTCTATTGGAGAAAACATTTTCCCCAATGGGGCGATTATTTTACTGGATTTTACTTCATGGTACTGTTTGCACTCCAAAAGCTTTAGGGAGTGAGAGCAGAAATAGCGCATACGTTTCTCTTGCGAATGAATTCGAGAATCTAGTCCCCCGATTCTCATATTAATTGGTTCTGGAAATACGACATTGAACTTGACATCTGATTTATGAAAACGTGTAAACGTGTCCTCTCTTCTTAAACATTACATCACTTTCCCACCTTACATTTTAACATTGCTTCATTCTTACGGATTTAATGATTTTGCCCTCTCATCTTTCTAAGGCTAAAATTAAACTTGGGATTTTCCTGTGCAAAATCAAATCTGAATATTTCATACTTCTAGAAAATTTCCGATATCTCGTTGAAAGCGCTATGATACTGCAGGCCTATATCTCTAGAGAAATTTCCAATAAAACCAGGAAAATTACGCTAATGAAATCACCGCCACATAATTTCTAATGAAATGAACTTGTATTAACTTATTTCGTTGCCTCGCGCAGCGTAATGATTCGATACGCTCAAGGCGAAAAGCATGCGTACATACGTATATACACGTACATAATTACACATTACGCATCACGCTGCTGCTTCTTTTCATCGATACGATAGAAAATATCGTCAAATTGCTTTTAAATCTCTTTTTCAATTTTTCATGCGCATATTGATTGATAGTTATTTTATTTATCTTAAAATAACTCTCTTGTTTATTCGCTCTAATTTTTCCTTTTTACAGTAGAAAAAAATGTAATACCGTAAAAAGAACTAGTGATTAAAAAATTTTTGGAACAATGATTTACTTTCATTAGTTCGATATCTCCCGGTTTTATTGAAGATTGCAACAGATGCAGAATTACGACAGGCATTTTATATTTAAATGTTAATTTATACGTAAGTGGATGAATTAGGCGACATTAAACATCAGTGGGCCATTCTGCGATGCCGAAGAGCCATTTCAACCACCGGTAAAGTTCCGACCGGCTGTCGGTAAATTTTCAAGCCGGGGAAGATCCATTGAGCTTTTCGCAAGGTACCGACTACCCCGCTGAAATTCGCAGAAACGCCCCAGCATTCGATACATTACGAGATTTATCGTATGCTGGGGCTTCTACGCGTTTCGCCACTGTCAGTCTAAACTACCAAAATAGCCCCATATCAAACATCGATCACGTCTGTGTGGTTCATAAAACATTCTTTCTTCTACTTCAATTTTCAACGACAAAATATCAAACGCCACACCCGGAAGATTTGCTTTAACTATTTAAAAAAATATCTGTTCCTTTAGTATTAATTATACAAAGCAATTTGCCTGATAACAATATCGCTAAAAGTATAATTTCTTTTTTCTTTTAAAATGACCCAAGAGGAATTCCAGCTTATCTTTTTATCCGCACAATTTCCACGGAGATGTCATTTCGCGAGTTAAGACGTGAAGGCGATATAAAACATTTGTAATTCGAAAGAAACAAGCAACCCGTCGCATACGATGCAATTCTTCTGTACCTTATTTCACGCCAAATAACCTAACGGTTCAGCGGCGTTTCCGTAGAGGGAAAACCATAAAAAAAATTCTCCTATACCAGTCCCAGCAAAAGTTATGCTCTCGGGAAAATGACACGCCGTAGTATACCGGCGCATAGTGATAACATTCGAAAAATTAAAGTCGTTGTATTATTCAACGAATAGTTTACCCAAGCAATGTGAGCTATCTTCACTATGCGGAATACGAATTCCCTATTCAACCCATACATTTAATCTTGACCTGGGTTAATAGCTGTCAGTGAACGCGTGGTACTGCATCGCTGTAAGCTTACGTTCTACCAGCTGACACCAACTCGTTGATATTCACGATGGCCGTAATCGGTTTTATTGATACTTCCCCGGAAGAGAGATTTAAGCGGCTTATAGGCGCGGATAAATCCTGGAAGCTCGTCAAAAATCATCAGCCAACGAAAAACGGATTTACGAAATTTTGTCAAAAACCGGGGTCGTGCAGTTTCCCAATAAATTAACCAACAGATCGCCTGGGCGCGCTTTCCCCTTCTTCCTAGTAGTTTCTTACTCGCGCCATTAACATGTTTAAGGACATTGCCACGTCCACGTTGTATCGTAGACGCTCTGCGCTTTACAGAATAATTTTCAAGAAATCTACGAAGGCACTGCTTCACAAATTTGCGCCTTATCGTGACGAAAACGTAAATGTAATTAAAAATAAACGTTTAAAGCAACAACACCAAAAAAAATTAAGTATTTTACGTAATCCAGTTCGGGGATTCCAGTAAAACTCTTAAATAAGTCCTGTAACAACATACGCGTGTAATTATATGTGCATCATGCATTGTATTAATGTGCAATTAATGTAATAATTATGTAGTTATGTCAAAAAGTGTTCCTTGCGATAAATTGAACGCAAGGTATATTACATTTTCATAAAGCGGTAGGTACATATACCACGTAGACGAGGGCGGTTAGATTACAAATTGCTAAACCGAATTGATTCAACATGCTCGCGGTATGTGCGGATAATCTTCAAATCGATAGGTCTTTATAAGCCGTTAATTAATATTGCATGCTGAATTTCCCGTTGAGAGCGTCGCGGACATTGCGGTCTGTAATTATTATTACCTCCGATACAGTTCGTTCTCTCCGCATGTGCGGGGTGTATCGCGAAATTACGCTAACGCAATTGTCACGCGAGATATTAATGTCACTTTGGACGATATTCGGAGTTGAAAGAATATGCGGACGTGAAGAGGAAGCCGAAAGTTGCAAAATAAAACTATTTCGAAAACTATTCAATCACTTGCGTATGCAACGTCGGTTATTCCGGTGAGCGAAGAAAATTGTTAAACTGTTAACAATCTAGCATACAGCAAGATGGATTCGAACAAATGGCGATGAAGACGTAACGTCTGAAATCCACTAATTTAAGTCGAAAGTGTAATTTCGCAGCGTTCGTTTCGTGTCGGTGTTGCTCTCTGTTTCGCAAGACACCAGATGTTAATGCTAATATAGCACGCTCGACGAATCTCGCTGTCATGAACCTACTGCAGATCTTTAGAATTATTATGCAGTAGCGTTTTCACATTAATGAGCAGTAATACGTTTACGTCACTCTCGGCACGCTGCAGGCTCATAATATTAATATAATATATATCGCGTGCACTTTGATTATTTCGGGATGTGGCAACATTTAAAAAAAATAAAGCATACGATGTATACACGTCTAATTTCATAGAATTAACACCTGCCATTTCTTATTAAACCGTGACCGAAGGCGCAGTTGATAGAGAAACATTCTGCCGAATTCTACGTACATTCGTGAATACCAGAATTCACATCTGATAAGTGAACGGTGAACGACGTTGCACCCGTTGTCATTAAAACATGAACGTTTTTGCGTTCGAACTGCACGCGAGCTCTCGAGATAATGCTGCTCCTCGTGGCGAGCACAGCAATTTGTCACGACTTGCTTCCCGACGAACGATTTAAAAACAACATTTTTCAACGCGCAACTCAGCTGAGGCACCACAGCGGGAGATAATGGCAAAATCGAATACCGCTGTACCTCACGGAAGTGAGCAGTAATAACGATTTTATGAAAGTTTAATGAGACCAGAATTTCCACCAGGGAATGGCATTCTCGTTCGAAGCAGAGAGTCGTTTGCAAGAATAGAGAAGAATCTGGGAAATTCTAACAGCCTTGTTAAAACGTTAACTATTGTTATGAGAATGTTAACGACACTGGCAACACTGCGAACAGCGAGCCTTCGTGCCGATTCAGAAATGGATATTATTATATATATGCATCGAGAGGTTCTTGGAAAGACATCAAGTATGAAGCAACTGTGACTCGCCAACGAAACTTTTTCCAACTTTGATCAGTCTTCGATTGGAAACACTTTAAGTTTTCTACTGTGAAATTTTTAGGCAAAGCGACGAACCGAGTAGCGATCGTTTGATGTAAATTTTGGATATCACAAAACTTCCCTCTGGAAAACGCCAATAAATGCGTTCCTCTCTTTCTCCGACAAGTCCCGAGTTGTTGATCAATGTTACGGGAACGCTACGCTGCGGTGGAATATTTAAACGTGTGCTCGCATGGCCAATATATCGGAACATCAAACGTGCGCTTGCTTCCTTTGTGCGAGAATACTAACGTTGTAACATATACCTTTATATCGACTATTTTTTGAAACTTTCATCGTTGCATCATCACTTTCTGCAAATGTCCGGGGAAACTATTTCGTCATTGCCGGAAGTCGTTTGTCACGACATTGCCGTTCAATATCATTCTAAACGTTACATCTGCTGACACGCTTGCACAACTACATACTGTGAAAACGTTTTTAATTTGTAAAATTGAATACTCCCCTCGCAGCAGTCACTTCTCAGATAAATTCCATCTTTATTTTAAACATTTGCGCGAACTTGCTAGATGTCGCGCAGAAACATACGCAATTAAAAATTTTACGCGAACATTAAAAGACGCCGTGCAGTTATTTGTATTTCGTTTTTTAAATAGAAAGCTGTAACTAACAAACTTTTCTCGTCATAAATTTATTATAGTATAGCGTCATATTATGGCTTAAAAAAACTTTGCGAATAAAACCGGCGGGGATTCATTAACCAGCTAGTGGTCTAACGAGCGTTTAAACCGGAGTTTCCGTAAATT